AAAAAAAAAAAAAAAATTCAGCCAGGTGCGGTGGCTCACGCCTAGATTCCCAGCACTTTGGGAGGCTAAGGAGAGAGGATTGCCTGAGCTCATGGGTTCAAGACCAGCTTGGGCAACTTGGCGAGATCTCACCTCTACAATAAATTTTTCTTTTTAATCAAATTTGGCTAGGCACAGTGGTTCATGCCTGTAATACCAGCACTTTGGGAGGCAGAGGCGAAAGGACTGCCTGAGTCCATAGGTTCAAGACCAGCCTGGGCAACATGATGAGACCTTGTCTCTACAATAAATAGAAAATAAAAATTAGCCAAGTGTGGTGACATGCACCTTGTGGTTCCAACTACTTGGAAGGCTGAGGCAAAATGATTGCCTGAGCCCAGCAGTTAAAGGCTGCAGTGGCTGTGAGCTTGCCACTGCACTCCAGCCTGGACAACAGAGTGAGACTCTGACTCAGAAAAAAAAATCAAATTTGTAAATAGTTAAAAATAATAATTTGGGTGCTAAGCATAACAGCTACTCTTCATATAAACTCTTAATCCCAAAGTATTTAGAATTGTGTCTATCTGGAAAAAAGTCAGTTTTGTTTCGAGTGGAGAGACCAACTAAAGCAGTCTGAATTCAACAACAGCTTTTTAAAATACATTGTCTCAGTTCGGACAACAAAAAAATCAGAAAATTTAGCCAGTTGTAGTGGTGTGCACGTGTAGTCCCAACTACTCAGAAGCTTAAGCAGAAGGATAGCCTGAGCCCAGGATGTCAAGGCTGCAGTGAGCTGTGATGCTGCCACTGTACTCCAGCCTGGGTGACAGAGCAAAATCTCAAATAAATAAATAGTCTGATCAAAATTTGCTGGTTTGTTTTTGTTTTTTTGAGTCAAAGTCACACTCTGTCACCCAGGCTGGAGTGCAGTGGCACACTCAGGGCCACTACAGCCTTGACCTACTGGGTTCAGGTGATCCTTCCACCTCAGACTTCCAAGTAGCTAAACTACAGGCTTGCACCACCATGTCCAGCTAATTTTTTGATTTATTGTAGAGACAAGGTCTCATCATATTGCCCAGGCTGGTCTTGAACCCGTGGGTTCAGGCAATCTTCTTGCCTCTGCCTCCTAAAGTGCTAGGATTACAGGTGTGATCTACTGCACTTGGTGGTTTTTTCAAAGTAAACTATTTACCAGTTTTTTTTCTCAAACTTGTCTTGTGGGTATGTATGTAAACATAAACACACACAATCAAAATGTGAATGCAGTGAAAATCATCCTTCAATCATATTTTTCTAAAGATTCTAAATATTAATGATAAGCTCTTACCCCCTTCTCCGTGCATCAACCCAGGCTTGATCTCTGTTATCTTTTTCAGGATCATATAGTAATTCATCATTGGTTGGAATCCTGTGTTGTTTCTTCTTTTTTTTCTTCATTCCCTGTGCTAATTTGGAAAATGTTAAGAATATGGCTAAGTATCATGTCTAAAGTTCATACTTTTTTTTTTCTGAGTTGGAGTCTCACTCTGTCACTCAGGCTAGAGTGCAGTGGCATGCTCGCAGCCATCGCAGTCTCAACCTGCTGGACTCAGGTGATCCTGCCACCTCAGTCTTCCAAGTAGCTGGAACTACAGGCGCACGGCACTAAGCCCAGCTAATTTTTTGACTTATTGTAGAGACAAGGTCTTACCAGGTTACTCAGCCTGGTCTCGATCCCCTGGGCTCAGGCAATCTTCTTGCCTCTACTTCCCAAAGTGCTGGGGTTACAGGCATGAACAACCGCACCTGGCTAAAGTTCATACTTCTTTAATACAGAATGAAGACTCTCATTCTCAAACTACATATTAATTCTTTTTACATTTTCCTTCAGAATTTTTTAAAATCCTTCCTCCAAATAAATAAAAGCACTGTCCAATTAATAAGGTAGTAAAATAAAGATAACAGTGGGAGGCAAAAATTGTTTCATTCCAAAAACTGGTATCTCGAGCACTGAGTTCAAAAAATGAAAGTTCAGAGTCTTGTCAGGCTTGATGGCTCAAGCCTGTAATCTCAACACTTTGGAAGGCCAAGGCAGGAGGACTGCTTGAGCCCAGGAGTTCAAGACCAGCCTAAGCAACATAGCAAGACCTCATCTCTATAAAAAAAATAAAAAACATTAGCCAGGCGTGGTGGTGTGGGCCTGTAGTCCCAGCTACTCAGGAGACTGAGATGGAAGGACTGTTTGAGCCCAGGAGGTCAAGGCTACAGTGAACTGTGACCTTGCCTCCACTCTAGCCTGGGCAACAGAGTGAGACCCCGACTCAAAAAAAAAAAAGAGCTGGGTGTGGTGGCTCATGCCTGTAATGTCAGCACTTTGGGAGGTGGAGGCAAGAGGACTACCTGAGCCCACAGGTTTAAGACCAACCAGGGCAACATGGTGAGACCTTATCTCTACAAAAAATCAAAAAATTAGCTGGGCGTAGTGGTGGGCACCTGTAGTCCTAGCTACTTGGAATGCTGAAGTGGAAGGATCACCTGAACCCAGCAAGCTGAGGCTGCGGTGGTCGAGAGTGTGCCACTGCACTCCAGCCTGGGTAACAGAATGACACTCTAACTAAAAAAAAAATTAAAAAGAGAATTCAGAGTCTCAAAAAAAAGTCAGTCTCAAAGGAAGCCAAAGGCAAAAGAGTGAGACCCCATCTCTTAAAATAAAAAAAAGACAAGCCGGGCTTGGTGGCTCAGCCTGTAATCCCGCACCTTGGAAGGCTGAGGTGAGTGGATTACCTGAGCCCGTGGGTTCGAGACCTGCCTGGGCAACTTGGTGAGACCTTATCTCTACAATAAATGAAAAAACTAGCCAGGCGTGGTAGTGCACGCCTGTAGTTCCAGCTACTTGGAAGGCTAAAGTGGAAGGATCGCCGGAGCCCAGCAGGTCGAGGTTGCGGTGGCCGGGAGCAGCCACTGCATTCCAGTCTGGGCGCCAGATTGAGACTCCAACTCCAAAAAAAAAGATAGACAAAAATATAAATTATTTTTGACATATAAAGCAAACTTCTCCACAAATTCCCATGTCTAAAATGCTATAGGAATAAGAACAAGGCCAGGTGCGGTGGCTGAAGCTTATAATCCCAGCATTTTGGGAGGCTGAGGCGAGAGGATTGTCTGAGCCCAGGGGTTCGAGACCAGTCTGGGCAACTTGGTAAAACCTTGCCTCTACAATAAATCAAAAAATCAGCTGGACATGGTGGCGCGGGCCTGCAGTTGCAGCTACTTGGAAGGCTGCGGTGGCTGTGAGTATGCCACTGCACTCCAGCCTGGGCGACAAAGTGAGACTTCAACTCAAAAAAAAAAAAGAACAAATATATTTCAAAAGTAGATGAGGCAGAATACAGTGACTCAAGTCTATAATTCCAGCACTTTGGGAGTTAAAAGTAGGAGGACTGCTTGAGCCCAGGAGTTCACGACCAGCCTAGGCAACATAATGAGACATCATCTCTACAAAAAAATCAAATCAAAACATTAGCCGGGAACAGTGGCATGTGCCTGTAGTCCCAACTTCTTGGGAAACTAGCACAGAAGGATTGCATGAGCCCAGAAGGTGAGGCTGCAGTGAGCCATGAATGTGTCACTGCACTCCAACCTGGGCAACAAAGTGAGATCACAATTCAAAAAAAAAAATTTCAAAAAAGGAAAGAATGAAAAAAACCTACAACCATCTACACACACTACATTTTTTTTTTTTTTTTTAGTCTCACTCTGTTGCCCAGGCTGGAGTACAGTGGCATACTCACAGTAACCGCAGCCTCGACCTGCTGGGCTCAGGTGATCCTTCTGCCTCAACCTTCCTAGTAGCTGAAACTACAGGGATGTGCCACCATGACCGGCTGATTTTTTAAAAAATTTATTATATAGATGAGGTCTCACAGAGTTGCCCAGGCTGGTCTTGAACCCCTCAGGCAATTCTCTCACCTCCGCCTCCCAAAGTGCTGGGATTACAGGCGTGAGCCACCAGGCCCGGCTTACACTAGACTTTTTAAAGGTACTCAAGCAGGTAAGTATTTAAGTAATAGTATAGAAAAATATAAAACTTTACTATATAAATTTATTTGAATATCCCAATGTAATTACTGATATAATTAAATTAGTTGTAGCTCTTGTCATGTTACTCAAATTTTATACAAATTAAATATCAAAAAACACATTAAAAAGCAACACATCGGCCAGGCTCGGGTAGCTCAGCCTGTAATCCCAGTGCTTTGGGAGGCCGAGGTGAGCGGATTGCCTGAGCCTGCGGGTTCGAGACCCACCCGGGCAACTTGGTGAGACCTCATCTCTACAATAAATCAAAAATTAGCCGGGCGTGGTAGCGCATGCCTGTAGTTCTAGCTACTTGGAAGGCTGAAGCGGAAGGATCACGGAGCCCAGCAGATTGAGGCTGCAGTGGCCGGGAGTGTGTCACTGCACTCCAGTCCGGGCGACAGAGTGAGACTCCAACTCAAAAAGAAAAAAAATTAAAAAAAAAAAAAAAGCAGCACATCAGGCTGAGTGTGGTAGCTCACAGCTGTAATCCCAGTGCTTTGGGAGGCAAAGGTGGGAGGACTTGAGCCCAGGAGTTCAAGACAAACCTAGGCAAAATAGTGAGACCTCGTCTCTAAAAAACAAAAATCAATACACAGCCAAGCATGGTGGTGCACACCTGTAGTCCTAGCTACATGGAAGGCTGAGACAGAAGGCTTGCACGAGCCCAGGGAGTTGAAACTGTGGTCACCCATGATTGTGTCACTGCACTCCAGGCTTGGCGACAGAGTAAGACTGACTCAAAAAAATTTTTTTATTTGGGACCTCACTCTGTCGCCCAGGCTAGAGTGCAGTGACATGCTCACGGCTACTGCAGTCTTGACCTCCTGGGACCAGGTGATCCTTCCACCTCAACCTTCCAAATAGCTGGAACTACAGGTGTGTGCCACCACGCATGGTTAATTTTTTTTCATTCAATTTATTATAGAGACAAGGTCTTGTCACATTGCCAAGCTAGTCTCGAACCCCTGGGCTCAGGCAATCCTCCTATCTTGGCCTCCCAAAGTGCTGGGATTGCAGGCGTGAGCCTCTACAGCTGGCCAAAATTTTATTTGTTTATTTATTTTTTATTTTATTTATTTATTTTTTTGAGTTGGAGTCTCACTCTGTCGCCCAGACTGGAGTGCAGTGGCCGCTCCCGGCCACCGCAGCCTCGACCTGCTGGGCTCCGGCGATCCTTCCGCCTCAGCCTTCCACGCAGCTGGAACTACAGGTGCGCGCTACCACGCCCGGCTAATTTTTGATTTATTGTAGAGATGAGGTCTCGCCAAGTTGCCCAGGCAGGTCTCGAACCCACAGGCTCAGGCAATCTACTCATCTCAGCCTCCCAAAGCGTGGGATTACAGGCTGAGCCACCGAGCCTGTAATTTTTTAATTTTAAAAAATTAACCAGGCGTAGTGGCATGTGCCTGTAGTTCTAGTTACTTGGGGGGTTGAGGTGGGAGGATTGCTTAAGCCCAGGAGTTCAAAGTTGCAAAAATTCTGCAGGAGGATAAAGACATAAAAACAATTAGCAGGCATTAAAAATAAATGCAACTCTAGGGAACCTAAAGGGAGAGGGAGGTCAAGAACCCCTGAGGAAGGGAGGTATTGAATTGGGACACAATCTCCCTCTCCTTAGGCACACTGATGCAGCACCATTGTTGGTGCCATTTCCTCATATGCCTGCATCCCCACCTTTTTCCTTTTTCTTTTTGTGAGATAAAGTCTTGCTCTGTTGCTCAGGCTGGAATGCAGTGGCGTGATCATAACTCACTGCACACTCAAACTCCTGGGCTCAAGGGATACTCCCGCCTCAGCCTCCTGAGTAGCTGGGACTACAGGTGAGTGCCATAATGCACAGCACCCAGTTTTTCTTATTTATCCATCTTCCTTTTGTTTTTATATAAATGGCATGCAATTTCTTAAGAGATAAAAGTCAAAGGAAAATCCTAGTAGCAAATAATTATTACACAAACCTTTTTCATAAAATATAACTACTAAACCAGGTAACTATGTTACTTACCTGTTTTGTCTTCATCCTCAGAATCAGAATCAAAATACACATCATCATAGTACTTTGTCAGAGCTGTTCCAACTTCCCCATCTCCTGAGGAAGATCCTATTCAAACCAGAAGTGAAGTTTACATGTTAAACTATACATGATTCATGAGGAAAAGTAAAAAATCCATATATCCTTCCATCACCTCAAAGTAATATCAACTTATTCATTATCTCATTTGGATGGTGAAATATTTTCACATCAATGACTTACACAATTTCTATACCCTAGGCAATTAAAGAACTGCCACTCCTTTAAGTACTACAAATCTTGAGGAAATTATTTTCTCTCCCTTCCCAGAAATCTAACTAAATAAAACAGCTATATTTTCAGGTCGTCAGCATACACATCTCTACCTTTCAGCCAGGCAGTATACTGTGGAAAACAGAGAATAAGCATTATGTTCGAAGGGACATTAAAGGGAAAAGGATAAGAACCTTATAGGGAGGCAGGGGAATAAGGCAAAGAAACACTTCCTCTTCCCAGCTGTGCCCAGTGCCATGACATTACCTATACTTACATCATCACATGCCTGCATCCCTAATTATTCCTCTTAATTAACATCGGCTTTAGTCTTTTTTTTTTTTTTTTTGAGTTGGAGTCTCACTCTGCCCAGACTGGAGTGCAGTGGCCGCTCCCGGCCACCGCAGCCTTGACCTGCTGGGCTCTGGCAATGCCTTCCAAGTAGCTGGAACTACAGGCACGCGCTACTATGCCCGGCTGATTTCTGATTTATTGTAGAGATGAGGTCTTGCCAAGTTGCCCAGGTGGGTCTCGAACCCACGGGCTCAGGCAATCCACTCACCTCAGCCTCCCAAGGCGCAGGATTACCGGCTAAGCCACCGAGCCCGATGGCTTTAGTCTTTATTATAGTATTATATTATACTTTCAGTTCTTACCAGTTACTACATCTATATCAACATGGAGACGAGTGCTGAGGAGTCCTACTTTCACAAACCAGTTTTCGGTTCAAGTACTTTTTTTTTTTTTTTTTTAATTGGAGTCTCACTCTGTCACCCAGAGTGGAGTACAGTGGCCACTCCCAGCCAACGCAGCCTCAACCTGCTGGGCTCCAGAGATCCTTCCGCCTCAGCCTTCCAAGTAGCTGGAACTACAGGTGCACGCTACCACACCCGGCTGATTTTTTGATTTTTTTTTTTTTTGAGTTGGAGTCTCACTCTGTCGCCCAGACTGGAGTGCAGTGGCCACTCCCAGCCATTGCGGCCTCCACCTGCTGGGCTCCAGCGATCCTTCCGCCTCAGCCTTCCAAGTAGCCGGAATTACAGGCATGTGCCACTACGCCCGGTTGATTTTTTTATTTATTGTAGAGATGAGGTCTCGCCCAGGTGGGTCTCGAACCTGCAGTCTCAGGCAATTCACTCACCTCAGCCTCCCAAAGGCGCGGGATTACAGGCTGAGTCACCGAGCCCGGCTAGTACATTTTACATAAAGAACAAGTTATCAAAACGAAGTATGTTTCATTATTTACTAAAATGAAACAGGAATCTGGGGACACATCATTAAATCTGCCATATCAGTACCATATAACCCTAAAAATACTTCTATAAGCTTTTGTGTCTTTTCTTTTTCTTAAATCCTAGAGGAAAAACTGAAAAGAAAATTATGTGAGTAAACAGCACTAAACAGCCTTTCCAAGAACATAGGACCCTCCTTTGTAGTTATCAAAGAAAATTCCAATTCAGGTTGCCAAATACACTCATTCCTTCACCCAACAAATATTTACTGAGTATGTACTGAAAGTACTGGGACACAAAAGGGCGCAAATAAGGTTCCTATCCTTATGAAGCTTACAAAAATATATATGAAAATTGAACCAAAAATTTACCTGCTCCCAGGGAGGATAATTTGTCCCGCATTGTTTTTATGGTAGAATTTAATTCAGCTTCCATTTCTTTTTCAAATTCATCCTCACTAGATGATTCACTTTCTCCAGTAAGACATTCTCTAATGAGTTTTCGTTTTTGGTCAGGAGTCCCATGTAAAAGCACATCCACTTCATCTTCAGAGCTAGTATACATTTAAATCAGAATACGAATATTAAAAATTAAAATAGCTTAAAAATCCCATCATCTCACTTTCCAACAATTTTAAGTTTTGCAAGGTTGCGTTTGATATACCTGTATTACATAAAGCTATTCTCACTTAATATACTGATCGCCGGGCTCGGTGGTTCAGTCTGTAATCCCGCGCTTTGGGAGGCTGAGGTAAGTGAACTGCCTGAGCCCGTGGGTTTGAGACCCACCTGGCCAACTTGGCAAGACCTCATCTCTACAATAAGTCAAAAATCAGCCAGGCGTGGTAGCGGGTGCCTGTAGTTCCGGCTACTCGGAAGGCTGAGATGGAAGGATCGCCGGAGTCCAGCAGGTCAAGGCTGCAGTGGCTGGGAGCGTGCCACTGCACTCCAGTCTGGGCGACAGAGTGAGACTCCAACACACACACACACAAAAATATCGACCAACCAGTTCTGCATATTTCCAAATAGATATGTAATATACATATACTTTTTTTCTTTTGAGTCGCGGTCTCATTCTGTCATCCAGGCTGGAGTACAGTGGCACAATCGGCTCACCACACCCCCAACTTCTTGGGCTCAGGCAATCCGTCCATCTCAGCCTTGCAAGTAGATGGAACTATAGGCATGGGCAACCATGTCTAGCTAATTTTTTAAAAATTTTTTGTTGCCGGACTCGGTGGCTCAGCCTGTAATCCCAGCACTTTGGGAGGCCGAGGTGAGTGGATTGCCTGAGCCCGCG